TATATACACACACTATATACATGATACATCTTCTTTTTCATCTACAACCCTAAACTTTAAGAAACATTATATAACTATTGGCTATATACACAAAGACAAAGGTCCACTGGTCCAATTGTGCCGCACAGCCTCTCCTCTCACTCCCCTGATCCAATATGTTGCAAGACCATGAAATTTTGCTCAAAACCCGAGAAGGCTGAATCCCCCTTATTAAACTGAAAACTTCCGGGCTAGATCGTCCATCCTACACCCACGACCTTATAGTGATAGGTCGGGTTGAGGGCTTAGGGTTTACTTACAGGGTGTAATGGTCTACATATATATATATACACACACATAGAAACATATGCACACATGTTGGCCAAAGTCTTGCCGGACTATCGACCCAAGTGCATTTCCACGGAAAACAAGTCGTAACACATGACACCCATAAAAGCTGAATGCCCCGATCCCACGATCCCCACAGAATACCTTATAAGAATGAAATGCTGAAATCCACCCCTGACCTGACTTGTGTTTAGGGTCATCAGAGGGCTTATATAGAGTTTTGTTTAGGGTTTTAGGGTTTTAGGGTTTAGGGTTTAGGGTTTAGGGTTTAGGGTTTAGTGTCTAGGCAAACAGAGTCTGAGGCGCTATAATGGTTCGCTTCGAGGTCATATATGATATTGAGCTCGGGATTGTAAGTTTTGTGCGGTGTCGGGCAAACATCATACTCTGGACCTCTCGGGTGTTAAGATTCAAGGCTGACACAGCATGGGTTTCGTCGATATGCATACAGTCTGGATGCAGGGTGCCGGGTTTGAAAGTTCAGGCCGGGTCCTGAAACTCCAAAATCACAAAGCCCTGAACCCCCGGATGCTAAACCATGGGAGGTCCTAGCTTACTGTGCTGAAATTTCAGTGTCCAAGAAGAACACCCAACTCCGGGCCCGATACCCCCAGGCTTAAAACCATCCCCGGACCCTCTACAGCCCAATAAGCCTCCAACTCCAAACCAAACCCCAAACCCTCCCACCCTGCCCTTCGAAAACAAGCCGACGGCACCTTGAACCGCACCAGAGCCAAAAGCGCCTGT